ATACAGTACTGTGCAAAAGTTTTAGGCAGGTGTGATATAATGCTGTAAAGTAAGAATGTTTAAAAAAAAAAAAAAAGTGTTAATAGTTTATTTTTATCAATTACCAAAATGGAAAGTAAATGGACAGAAGAGAAATCAAATCAATATTTGGTGTGACCACCTTTTGCCTTCCAAACTGCTTCTGTTTTTTTCTAGGTACACTTGCACACCGTTTTGAAGGAACTCAGCATGTAGGTTGGTCCATACATCTTGGAGAACTAACCACAGACCTTCCGTGGATGTCGGCTGCCTTAAATCCTTCTGTCTCTTCATGTAATCCCATACAGACTCCATGATGTTGAAATCAGGGCTCTGTGGGGGCCAAACCAACACTTTCAGGACTCTGTGTTCTTCTTTACACTGAAGATAGTTCTTAATGACATTGGCTGTACGTTTGGGGTCATTGTCCTGCTGCAGAATACATTTGGGGCCAGTCACACGCCTATCACATGGTATGGCATGATGGATAAGAATCTACTTGTATTTCTCAGCATTGGGGACACCCTTGATCCTGACCAAATCGCCAACTCCATTGGCAGAAATGCAGCCCCAGACTTGCAAAGAACCTCCAACATGCTTCACTGTTGCCTGCAGACAGTAATTATTGTACCGCTCTCTAGCCCTTGGGTGAACAAACTGTCTCCTGCTACAGCCTCAATGTAAATCTTAGGAATAACTCACCCTAACCTATCCAAACAAGAGTCTAGTAGACATCCCGTATATGATAAAGTTTGAAACACGAAATGAAAAAATGATAATATAAGAAATAACTATAAGAAATTATAATATAATAATAAGAAAAATGGTCCAGTAAATGGGAATTCTGGGGGCGCTGCCTGATCCGTACCAGAGTCAATAGAGTACCAAGTTTGCTCATCACTGAGCGCGGTCGCAAATTCGTCGCTGTCGTCACTTTCAGTGTCTGGTGACGAATTTCCCAACGAATCGCTATTGCTCAATTCTGCAAGTAGTTCTAATTTACTATCGCTGTTTTCTACCTGGTCTAAAACCGCTTTTGACCTAACGGGGCGCTTTTTGGATGCCATGGATGTTCTCAAGTTTCCAGGCAGAAAGAACAGTAAAAGTGCAGGCAGGGCACTGGACAAAGCTCTAGGGACAAAATTGAAGTGAAATGGTTTGATACAGAAATGTAATCATAGAAGATTCCATTGTATTCTGTGTATTCTGTGTATATTGCATGTTTTCACTTTTGAATTTCCCACCGGCTCCGCCCCCCGCTGTGACAAAAACGAAACTAAAAGTCGGGTGGCGGCATCGGCTGGCGCACACAGCAGAGGACACCGCGTGCTCGTAGCGACAAGGTAAGTGACACTTTTGTGTAATCCCGAGTGTGCCTCGGGGTTACCGCTATTGGTACTGAAAATGAACCCCGAGCCACACTCGAGAATACCGCCAGGGAGGTTAAACATTGTGTGCAAGTGTACTTAGAAGAATTGATGCTGTTTTGAAGGTAAAGGGTTGTCACACCAAATATTGATTTGATTTGGTTTTATCTTCTGTTCATTTAATTTCCATTTTGTTAATTGTTAAAAATAAACTATTAACACTTATTTCTGAAAGCATTCTTTACAGAATTTTTTCACACCTGCCTAAAAATTTTGTACAGTACTGTATATTTACTGTCTTATTTGCCAAAAGATCTGGATGTTTGTTCAGCCCATGATTAAGACACCTCAGCCACACTGCACAGCCAGGAAGATCACTCTACTACTTTCTGTTTCACCTTTAACACTAGCCCTAACCCTAAGGATGGGTTCACACCTGGGCGTACTATAGACATTTTTTTTTTAGCTTGCTTTTTAGCACGTTTTTTCGTTCAGTGAAACGCGCGTTTGACGCTCGTTTTTATACCTCCCTGGCGGTATGATTTTTTATTTATTTTTCCTTTTATTTTCTATCTTTTTTAAAAAACTTTCAAACTTGCTGCCGGTTCCGCCCCCCTGCGACGCGGCCGCTCGCAAGGGACGGAGCCGGAAGACGGCAGCAGCCGGAGGACAAGGTAAGTCCTACGCTGTATTCCCAAGTGTGGCTCGGGGTTACCGCTTTGTGAACCCCGAGCCACACTCCGCAATACCAATGGATAAGCACGGAAAAAACGCTCCAAAAGAAGCTCCTGTACTTGTTTGGGCGCAGAGCATTTTTCAGTGCGTTTCTACGCGCTGAAATACGCCCAGGTGGGAACCATGCCCATAGGCAATTATGGCATTTCCCTTGCTGCGCGTTTTTCAGCGCTTCGATCAGCGCTGAAAAACGCCCAGGTGTGAACCAGCACTTAAAGGATGGAGGAGACATAGAAAGCTGGAAGCAGAAGTGTATCACCTGCCTGGTTATGCAGTATATCAAAACTGTGTAAATCACAAAACCTTAATTGGTTGCCATGGTGATTCAAACCCCTTATGTTATATACATGACTGAATTACTTATATCCCTTATCCTACTTATATCTTGCTTATATCCTATATTATTTATATCCTTTAGAATGCAAGCTCTTATGAGCAGGTTCCTTTTAACCCTCTTGTATTAAATTGTATTGTAAGTATACTCCCTGTAAAGCGCTGTGCAAACTGTTGGTGCTATATAAATCCTGAATATTAATAATAATAATAATAATGATAACATTGACTTGCAAAATGCTCAAGGAATTTTTCTGCAGCAGTAACCTATATGTTGTTGGCAATACTGCTTTCTACACATAATTTTCTAATACCACGGGAGAAGTTTGTTTTTTTATTCATGGCAAGAAAGAAATTCTTATTTACTCAAAATAATAATGCGATCGGAAAATGATGACATACTCAGAGAAATTATTCTACGCAGACAAACAGGAAATTCCCAATACAATGTATAACCAGTCCATTAACTACTACTACAATTACTATTATTTCTAATAATTAATACCACCAATAAATGCAGGGACAACTATATTATAAACCAGACACAATTAATTCTCTATGTTAATGAACAAACATAAATATAAAACTGTAAACGTAAAATGAGCTAGGTATTTACTGAATCCCAATCAAAGAATTAAAATGTATGTTTGTTAGTGTTAAGCCTCATTCACATGGACATGCAGAGTCGTACAGTGTGCACGTCTGTGCATAAACCTGTGCCCGGGAGAGACAGGTATTGCATGAAGTCACCTGTACAACACAATGACAGGATGCGGCTGCATGCTAGTAAATACTGATCCGAAATTTTGTATATCTGTAGAGGTGCCACTGCCGGAAGCATCTGTGTGAATGAAGCCTTAAGGTGGAGAAAGGTTAAAACACCTATCAGGTTGTGTTTTGCTGTCTGTGTCTTGCTGGGGAGATTTCCTTACACTTTCTGTCCTGGAGACACAACAGGAAATGAGAGGAAATATCTCTAAAGTGAATGCAATTCAAATTTAAAGAAGAACTCCAACTTTCTCTTTAAGAAAGTTGTCATAGGTGTCCCAATTGAAGGATTTTCTTTTATGTCCTGCTCTGGTGACAACTCTAACATTTTGGATTTCACTTTGTCTGATTGAAAATGCTCCCCAGTACAAATAGGGGTTTGACTCTCTACTGCTGTACTCCACAGCACATAGTCTTCCCTTCATGCATATCGGGTATACAGTATGGGGGACAGATTCCAAAGTAAACTAGTCCTTCAGAAAAAAACTATAATTGGAGACATACATTTGTTGTCACGATTGACATCTTCCAAAAAATGTTTGTTGCCTGGCTATCTTGATAATTCTGTGGCTTCTGTACTTTGACTCATTGCGGTTGATTTACTAAAGACAAACAGGTGCTTCTCTTTGCAGGGGAATTTTCCCTTAGCTTACTGAATGTGGTGAAATTTCACTTTGCTACGAATATCCAATCATGTGCATGAAAAAGAGAAAAAAGGTATTTTTGCTTGCACGTGATTGGATGATGGAAGTCACCAGAGTTTTACCTCATTCATCAAGCTAAGGGTAAATTCCTTTGCAAAGTGAACAGCCTATTTGTCTTTAGTAAATCAATCCCATTGGCCCAAAACATTTATAAAATGAGAAGTGACACTTGTAGCACATTTATTTGGCATTAGTGACTCAGAACAAATGAATGCCAGAGGCCAGAGTACTTCGGTCACCACAAGTTTACTTTATGGCTATCAAGTTTTCACAATGCATGTTAAAACAGAAATTGTATAATCCGTATGCATCCCTAAAATGGTCACAAAACGTAACCCTCTGTCATTTTAAGAAAATACATTTGTCAGTTTCTGCCCTTGCAAGTGATCATGCTTTACTTATATCATTCCTAGGAAGGCCTTAAAGCAGAACTCCAGGCAAAAGTGTTCTTAGCCCTTGCAGTGGGGCTAACTCTCACACTGCAAGGATTAAGTGCTTGTTTTTGTCCAGGTACTAAAAAAAAAGTTATACTCAACCGAACCATGGAACTGGCTGGCTGCTACTTCGGTCCCTGAGAGATATTATGTCCCTCGGCGTCCTCACGTCCTAAACATGTATAGAACATGATGACTCACAGGACCTGTTAGCATGATGTATTGGAGGCACAAGGACATAAGCACATATTGAGTGAGGGTGTGATGTACAGCACATGTCCGGCTTTAATTCTTGGCTGTTTTTCCACTGCAAGCTACCTATATAACTTGAACTCCATTAGCATAGAACTAAACTACTATAATTCAGATTTAGTGTATGAAGTCTGCAGTAACCATATGTGAACATTACTCTTCCCAGTGACATCAGATCTCATGTAATCCCATACAAGCAGGCAATATGTTCCAGTGCTGACATACCTCCTCCAGGCCCATACAGCACCTGAGTCACAGATGATATGGTGAAACACTGTGCTGTATTCTGTTGAAACTTTCAGGCTGGACTTACTAATACTTTGTTCAAAATCATACATACTTCACAACAATTTATATATTTTTATAGCCAAAACTGTAAAATCACAAACCTGGTATGCTTGCTTTATTGATGGATGGTTGGTTACACATTGTGGACCGTCTAGAAAAAGGTAACAAAACCATTTATGAGACACAGAGAAAATAACAGAAAATACTTTGAAAGTGTGAAGAAATAAATGACCATTCAATGTAGAGTTTGCCTCCCATGCAAGGTTACAGTGCAATCTGCTGGCCACAGTTCACATATTGATCTGCTGTGGGAATCTTTGTCTAAGAATGGCAATTGGCAATGCAAGAGATGTGCCCAATTCAAGTATTGCTTGTGAGGTTCTGCGAAAAGCTTGGCCGAATACGGCCTTCCTAGAGGATGATCCGGAACATTTCTGAATATCAGAAATGGAGCTACTTTTTCTGCAAACCTTTTGTCTATAAGTATACTGTCTTTTTTCCCCTCAAAGACAGAACAATCAGCATAGGAATTAAGTCCCATTATTTGCATTTTTGTGTAAAGTCTTTCTCCATTAACACAAATGTATACGGGACCTTTTCACGTAAAAGAGTTTTACTGCAGCTGGCACATTAGATTGCCTTCATCTACCCACATTTACCAGGAACATTCACTGGTATTTATAACACTGTCAGGAGAATGTTAAGGAATCTTTAAAAAATCTGCAGCAAATGAAAACTTACAGAATAAATGTAATTGTATAACAATAGTTTCAGGCAAGACCAGAACATATGGAAGATGGTACCCTGATCTGAGTTGCATTGCCAACAACAGTTAAAGGAATTGAAAGATGCAAAACCTTCTGACATTGTTTTGAAACATTTCACCTTGGTTGTGAAAGACATCTGTAGGCCATTCTCAAATAGCATCAGGTACGGGGCTTTGAGTTCCTGTTATGGAAATGTGTCCATAGAGGATAGATAGGGAGTGCTGAAGAGGGCTTGTGTCGGTACAGAGCTGTTCAGAGCTGGATAAAGAAAGACACCAGTGAAGGCAGTGTACTTAAATGCCTGAGTTGTGGTGCTTTCCAAAAATGTCGGTCATATATGACATCTTTTTTCATTAGATCTTATATTGGAGCCAATATCTGCATTGGGTAAAGGGCGAGGCTAAGGTTTTCCTTTTCGTGTGCAGGAACCTTAATGGGCTATCATAAGTTTCAAGAGCGAATCCCAGGTTTTCAATAACTGGATATAAAGGAAAAATAGCACATGCTTTGAAAGATGGTCCAGGAGTGTGGAGACACACCAGGGTGCACTATTTAATGCTGGAGGAGGCAACTTGTTTAATTGTAATCCATTGTTTGAGGTAAGCATGTCTGCTTCAATCATGGAGCCTTACCAAGAAGCAAGCAGAGTGATTGTCTATATCGGGCAGGGCAATATCTACACTAGGGCCTGGGTAAACTTAAAAGGAGTTAAACTTAGATCTTGCACATTGTTTAGTGAATAAAGCATTAACTTGTTTTAGTAGGAAAAAGAGATATGAATCAGTAGAGCTTGGAGAAGATACAGAAATTTAGGAAGGGTCGCCACCTTGATTATAATGTAGAAAGAGTCACTCGCGCTGCAGCTTGATTTCAGTCAATGTTTTTGACCTCTGTAGTATCACATCACATTAGCGACATTTCGGAACCACATGGTTCCTCCCCTTCCTTGCCTGAGGAAGGAACCATGTGGTTCTGAAACGTCGCTAGTGTGATGTGACACAACAGAGGTCAATAAATATTGACTGAGATCAAGCTGTAGTGCGAGTGACTCTTTCTTCGTTGTACATTGATTTGCGGAGGCATCTGCTGTCACTTCGGCACACACCTGATTCTCAAGGGTATTGTCCGGAGTGCGATGGGTCCCATTTCAATATTAAACTGCCATCTTGATTATGTTACAGGGCCCAAACCACAAGAACATCCCTGACTGCCACTTCATGAGAGTAGTCTGACTTTTCGCAGAAGGGGTGGGAAGTTGAGTGTAAAGGTGTGTTTTAAATTGGGTGTTATGAGGATGCCTAAATACTTAATGTCCAGAGAGGTCCATTTGAATTCAAAGTTGTTTAATCTGGTGGACAGGAATAGCTATCCCCATGGCTTCAGATTTGTAAAAGTTAATTTTCAGGTTGGAGAGTTCCCCATATTCCCATATGAGGTTGGAAAGAGAGATGGCTAGATTGGTTAAGGAGAACATTAACTGGTCTGCATATGCTGAATTTTTGTATTGCTTGTCTACAGTATTTCCAATTATCCTACATTTTAGATAGGACGCCTCTAGAGTTTGTAAGGGGCATAAAAAGACTCTGTTAGCCTTGACCAATGCTGTGGGGAAAGAATAAATGGTGGCAATCCACTTTAACTGTTTCTCTCCAAGGCCAATATGTTTTAGATATAATGTTCAGTGCTGAAAAAGCATTTAATATAGCAATTACTCCCTAACATACCTTCAAATGCTTAAAATTCCTAAAGAAGGTCATCAATTTTAAAAATGCCCAAAAAACTATGGACAGCCAAGTATTTTAAATGGACTCACCATAATTGAATTAGTCATAGCAACACTGTAGTCCACCTTAATGACTGTAGTCCACTGCCCCTTGGCAAAAGTGGAAAACTTAAAGGTATATATGCTTCTACTTATTTAATAATATCAATAATCATATCAATAAGGAAATAGTGCTTTTATTTGGGGGTTAAAAATTATTATACAGGTTTTATATAGATCAAACCGTTTGTGCTGTGTGGCAATGAGTTGTTTGGGAGTAATAGTCCAGCAGTTAGGTTGAAGAGGGATAGACTTCAGGAATCTCCAAAAGGCAGACAGAGTAGGAGATAGCCGGGCAGGTAGGGGTAGGGAGTTCCAAAAGATGAGAGACTGTAGAGAAGTCTTTGAGGTGAGCATGGAAGGAGTTGACGATGGAGTTAGCGAGTAGGAAGTCTAGGGAAGAGCGGCGGGGACGGTTAGGGTGATACTTTACACGAGGTTGGAGATACAGCCAGGGGCAGAGATAGGATGGCTTTGTAAGTGGTTGTTAATCTTTTTAATTGTATTCTTTGGGCTACTGCAAGTCAGAGGAGGGGTTGCAGATACCGAGCGGTTGGTGAGATGGATGAGTATAAATATTGTATTATACAGTTTACATAAAACTGTACGGCCACAATCTGTGGTCTAGGGGGGGAGTAAAAGTAGCCCTTGTTGGCATACAAATGGTGTCCATACGTGGCCTAGGCATTGGGTTAATGCAGTGAAACTGACTAGTTGATAATTGATGTCATATAGACTATAACACTTATATATATTGGTCACTAGGTGGCACTACAGGCCATGCGAGTGTTTAATTCTACAAAACATCTGCACTAAACTAGAGAACAAGCCAAACATCCAAAAATACCCTGCCATATCAGTCTGTGCTGCTTTATATGCAGGGATGAAGGACACAGGGAATTCTACTTTGTTTCTGCTGGACTGGAAGACACAACAGCAGTACAACCAAAATATCCACTCTGTCCCATGTGTATAAAAACATCAATATTGCTGCAGCCTAACAGGGTGATACAATTTATTTATTACTCTGTATAAAATTAACATAATCACACACTACAAATGTGACAAAACTTTGTCTATGTACATGTCAATGTATGTCTGTCTGGTAAATTTAGTTGATGCACATCTCCTTTCCACTTTTATAGTATGAGGTACACTGGGTTATTTTGCACACTTGGGGTTAAGATTGCTTTTGCATTTACAGCTGGTCCTGTATACTTATTATATACTTGCTGTATACCATAAGTTTCTAAAATAGGAAGATAGGTTATCCTTCAAATCTGGCTTCCAGTAATGCCCTCTCCAAAGCTGCAATCAAAAGCATATTGTTGCTGTCAGGGAGATATCTGCCAATTCACACATGACTTCAATGAACATTCAATGACTTGAGGAAAAAGCACTGAACAATCATGGTGATTAACCACACTTACCCGTCAACCCTCGTCTAATAAGGCAGCTTTGTTGGCTAGCAAGGCACTTTCAATGGACAAAGGACTGGCTGTGAAGGTGGGCAGGGTCTTTGTTTCCCATAATGATTATACAGGTAGAGGACAGGTTCATTTTAGGGCTCATTCACGCCAGCCAGCACACATGGCCTGGTGTACGTGGTGTAGGCGAAGTTAAGGGCAGCACAATACGTTTTTACAACACATCACACTGCTTACTTTTTTTTCTCTTTCTTCTTAATTTTACTGCAGTGCAACGCACCTTACCCCATTTTTGTGGTGTGAACAGGACACGGAGAACAAATATTTTCTATGTGCCCTTGTGTTGGGCCTGTGCTGATTTATGCAGATGAATGCAGCTCAACGGATATAATGTAAACGAGCCCTTAAATTACTGACATGGACATAATATCCACATAAGACATTTAAAAAATTTTTTTTTAAAGTCAGGCCACGAGAATAACAAAAAAAATGAACTTGAAACAAGGAAAGTTTCTTCTCCAGACAGATTTTGCCTGTTGACATTGGCGGGGTAGAACCTGCCCAGGGCAGCTTTAACAAACAGGTTTACTTTCTTTAGCATTGCAGGATTTTTTGGGAAGTGTGGGAACTGTTATTTTAACCATGAAGCCACACATTTTCCATTGAGTTAAGATTACACTAACAAAAGTGTGCCTGTTCCAGAATGGGAAAAGTTGGGGATATAACAAACAATGCTAAGGAACTGTTTTAATGTGCAGTATATGTAAACGATGATTGGGGAGGGTTTGACAGTGGGCAGTATGTAAAGGAGTGTGGAGAGTATTACAGTGAGCAGTATGTTCAGAAGAGCAGTGCAGGGGGTGTGATAGTGGACAGTATGTGAGGGAGAGAAGTGCAGAGGGCATGAAAGAGTGCAGTATATGCAGGAGAGGAATATAGGAGATGTGATAGATGACAGTATGTGAGCGAGAGAAGTGCAGAGGGCATGATAGAGGACAATATATGCAGGAGAGGAGTGTAGGAGGTGTGATAGTGGACAGTATGTGAGGGAGAGAAGTGCAGAGGGCATGAAAGAGGACAGTATATGCAGGAGAGGAGTGTATGGGGTGTGATAGTGGACAGTATGTGAGGGAGAGAAGTGCAGAGGGCATGAAAGAGGGCAGTATATGCAGGAGAGGAGTGTATGGGGTGTGATAGTGGGCAGTATGTGAGGGAGAGAAGTGCAGAGGGCATGAAAGAGGGCAGTATATGCAGGAGAGGAGTGTATGGGGTGTGATAGTGGGCAGTATGTGAGGGAGAGAAGTGCAGAGGGCATGAAAGAGGACAGTATATGCAGGAGAGGAGTGTAGGAGGTGTGATAGTGGACTGAATGTGATGGAGAGAAGTGCAGAGGGCATGAAAGAGGGCAGTATATGCAGGAGAGGAGTGTATGGGGTGTGATAGTGGGCAGTATGTAAGAGAGAGGAGTGCAGAGAGCATGAAAGAGGGCAGTATATGCAGGAGAGGAATGTAGGGGGTGTGATAGTTGGCAGTGAGGGAGAGGAGTGCAGAAGGCATGAAAGAGGGCAGTAAATGCAGGAAAGGAGTGTAGGGGGTGTGATAGTTGGCAGTGAGGGAGAGGAGTGCAGAAGGCATGAAAGAGGGCAGTATATGCAGGAGAGGAGTGTAGGGGGTGTGATAGTGGGCAGTATGTGCAGGATCGCCCCTCCTACGTTCTTGGGGCTTTGTCAGATCCTTAAGGATCCTTGAGGATCTGACGAAGCCCCAAGAACGTAGGAGGGGCGAAACGCGTCATACAGTTACGGGATGCTAGCTTGACTAACTGCATGTCGGACACCTGACCAGTTGGCGTGGACAAACTAAATTACAGGGGGAAAAAAAGGGTTTTTTTGCATTTGATCGAGAAACACCCTTGGAAACAAACACAGGGATTGTCCAAAATCGTGGTCTATACAGGAGGATTTAATCTCGAGGATCACTTGAAAAGTCTGATACTGGACTATAATGAAAAATATCAGCTAAAAATTCAAGTGGACAAGAGCCTAACGTTTCAGATTGACCGGTTGCAGTACCAAGGAAACGTGAGTAGATGTTACTCGAGTTGAAGCATATCACACACAGATTGGAGGTATAATCCCCTTGTGTGATCATAACTCAGCGGCAACCAAAATATATATATACTCACCGGGTCATATATCACATACCATATACTTAGCTATATCCTACTTGAATTCCTACAATCAAGATAACATCATATATACACACCTCCCTTACTCCAAGACATGAACACCCAAGAATTGGACTTAATATCAAGGAACATTGCTTTTTGAGTTAAGTCAGGCAGTTCATATAATTTATTGGATATACCTTCCTCATCCATCAAAGTCCCCCCTTTTTTCTACCCGTTTTTCCTCCATTTGAGGACCACCATATGGCATAAATTGCGCTGATCAGCTAGCTCCCCTGTGTGTTTGAATAGTGGCATGTATGTATGGATTGTTGCAATAATCTTTTATTGACGTTGTAGGTGGTGGGTTTTGTACTGTGCATTTGCTTTAAATATGAGAATATATTGTTATTTAATAAAACTTTTTGATACTACTATTTAACTCTCCGACCCTCGTTTCATAGCTGCACTTAGTTCTTAACCACCTTGGTTAGAACAGACTGTTCCAATTATTGTTTCCTCTGAGCAGCTGAGGGTTGTTTGCTAGTCAGTGAGAGAAAATCAGGTCACATCTGACCAATCAAGTGAGTGGAACTCTGGATACACCTTCTCCTTTTTTTTATGGAGCAGTATGTGCAGGAAGGAGAGGAGTGTAGGGGTGTAACAGTGGGCTGAGGACTGGACATTGACTGGTTATCACTCTTGCAGAGGAATGGGTGCTGGGTGGTTAATGCACTGCTTGCTTTATACCTAGTGCATGAACGGTTCTAATAGGTTATATCAACTGACCACTGAACTCTGTACGCAGGGCTCTATATGACATACTTCTGACCACTGCACTATGTACACAGGGCTGTATATGACATATTCCTAACCAGTGCACTCTGTAAGCTGGGCTGTATATGACATACTCCTGACCTCTGCACTCTGTAAGCTGGGCTGTATATGAAATACTTCTGATCACTGCACTCTCTATGCTATATTTTACAACAGCTGCTGGTTGCTTAGTAGTCTCTGACTTTGTTAATTAACTTCTTCTTCGAGACAGCTGTGTGCAGAAAAGTTTTGGAAAAGTTTTATTTTCTTACAAGTGATTGTGCTGAGAATTGCATGCGTCTGTTAGACTCTCACTTGTGGCACAGTAATTAAATGTCATATGTTACCATCTACGCAGTGAGTGGGCTCAGGTTTTAAGCTATACCTACTGTTAGCGCCATTTTGTCACACACTCAATTGACTGCAGCAGGCACAGTGAACCCCCTCATTTATCTCCTCTAGGCACCCAAGGCTGAACCCCCCTTCCCTGTAAAAAACAATATCTACTATGGATAGGGTTGAAAGAAACGTTTTTTTCCATAGAAAGCCACAATACACCACTGTAAAGATGCCCATACACCTGCCGATTATTGTACGATAATCGCGGGAAATCCCGCAATCGTACGATAATCGGCAGGTGTATGGAAGGCGTGCGACCGTTTCTACTGTACGGTCGCACGTCTTTTGTCTTACGAGCATGTTTGAAAACCAGCCGAGAATCGTACGATTTTCGGCATGTTTGTGGCATGCTCGTAAGACAAATGCCGCACGGGCCCGTGTGCGCAAGCATACACTGCCTGTTCAGCATTGCTGTCATCGGAAGCCTGCCCCTCAGCGGGGCGGGCTTGCGATGATCGCAAGTACGATCTTCCTGTCCAAGATGGGCAGATCAAACTTTTCCCTTACTTACCTTACAACCATCGCAAGACAAATGGTTGTTAGGTGTGTGGCCAGCTTTACATGAGAGTCCATTACAACTTACTGGCAAGTCTCTAATACTTACTTGCTGGGCGCTCGATCTTGCAGGTTGGTTATTGCAGCAAAGTTATTCCTTACAGTACGCAGACTGGCCAGTACCTTAAAAACAAACACAGCTATTAAGTACAGTATCCAACTGTCACTTATACACACATCCACATTCATAAATATACTGTATATTCAAATGTGCAATGAATTGTATTTTTGGCTTAGTCATTTAAGGGGAATGTTGTTGGGCTAGGAAATATAAGTGGTATGTGCTGTTTTCATATCAGAAGAAAGAAAAGTGGCTGATATACTGCATGTATATATATATATATACCATAAATCTGAAATTCTGTATACTGTAACTATTAAAATATTACACATTACTTTGCTGGAAACATTGCACAATTGCACTGTGGGTAAACTCTAGCTTTATTAGGAACCAAGCCTTTATCCCTATATATTCTATATTTCCTATGATTTGCAGGGACAGGTAACTGCATAGCCAACATAGGCTGTGCCTTAGTGCAACACGACTCAGACATGTTGCTCTTAGTGAAACATATATAATAAAAATGTTTTCAGACTGCCATTTTCCTTGTGTCCCTGCACAGTTTTGGTTGTTGGGGGAGTACTCCATATTTACAGGTCACGCACTCTCTGTCTGTACACTTTGATCTGATCTGCTAGCATAGAAGAAATACAGTTTGTCCTGCTCTCCTGATTGTCGGTTCTAGGTGTACAGAGGTCTTAGGTGCGCCTTTTGTGGCAATGATGGCTAATCTTGTTAGTGTAATTCTAGGGAGAGCCAACTGAATGGAGTATGAGAGCGCAAGATATTTGGTTTAGTGCGGCAGAACATATAAATCCAGCCCTTATGAACAGGGAACTGTAAAAAGGCTCCAATTAGGGCAGCATCATTACTGTTTTACAGAACTACTATTACCAGTAATGTGTAGACACTGAAAAATGTCATGGATTTAAGTGCTGGAACAGGAATACAAAGCAGCCATGGTATATATAGCAAACCAGCCTCACAAAAAGGAAATCAATAGGATGGCATTAGTATTAGCTGTTTTGTTGGCCAGTTGCAGAAACTGTAGAGCATTTGTAACATTAAAACTAGGGATGTTCAGATACCAGGTTCCGTACTCGGTACAAGTACAGATACTTTTCCAACTCCAAGACTAGACTAGAGAAAAACTCAAAAGATAAGAGGCAGCTGTCATTAAGGGGCATTAGCTACGGGGCTCTTTGTGCATCTCTGTTTTGATGTATGATTTGTTTTATATAAATATATACAGTATATTCAGGATGCACAGATACCATTTTTTCCCGACCAAGTAGAAGTACCAATACTTGTCCAAGTACTCACAGATACAAGTACTGATACATTTTTGTTTAGTGTCATGTGACAGTTTTTCAAAAACAATACAGACTAATGATTTCAGGACAGTGTTGGAGCGCCAGAGCCAGGTCCCAGCTGCAACCGCTGCAACCCTGTTAGTTCTCGTGAAAATGGCAAGTACCGTCACTGGTATCTGAACTGGTATCTGAACATCCCTAAAAAAAGAGTAAGATGAGCACTACAAAAGAGTTTGCTCCAAACAATACTCTCAGACACACCAGTGGCACCTGCTAGAATTGATGGGCATGACCAATTGTGGTTGCAGGGACCATCCGCCTAAAATGGATATTTGAGCATTAGGTTTCGTATAGCTTTTAGGTGGCGAGATCTCTGCAGCCTTAATCTGGACAACTACCATACTTAAACAAAGGCTAGTTATACCCACTCTCCTTGCTGGTATTTTTTGCTTTATTATATATTTTTTTAATATATTAACAAACATGCAGCAGGGACAAATTTCCAAAACCCAAGCTGTCCCTGAAATCAGAGCATGTTATAAGCAAGGGTCATAGCTCTAGGCACGTGTTCAGCAGCTTAGTGTCACAGGAATGATACGTTTCCAGACTGATAAAATGTTGGCAGGTCAGAATATTGCATATTGGAGAGGGGTGAAGGTTTGTGTATGTGTACAGACATGAACAATGCAAAGCCATGGGACCTCTCTAGAGAATATTGAAGAGATGCATTTGCATGTGGTTAAAAAGAAACAAATATTTTTGTGTATTACTATTTTATTGCCACCAGTAACTCTCTCTGAATGTAATTCTGGCCACACACATAACAACAAAGTGATGACTGATCATAGATTCCACTATCTTGAACAATCTACCCCTTGCAAATAATTGTTCACCACAACAAAGAAAAAGATCAATTTGGTTGCACAGGATTTTCCACCAGGACAATTCTACTCCTTTTCGAAGACAACAATGGTTTATTGATGGAACCGGCCATCTAGTGCAATTGATTTTGGAATGATAATATTCTTTCCTCGAAATGATCATTATATCAAATGAATGTATTATGTGTATGGCCAGTGTGAAAGACCTGTGTGTGTAGAGAAACATGGATTCTCCTATTATTATTTAAAAGCGATCAATATGATGTTTTAATTGCAAACTATTTATCACGCACTGTACATTATACCTCATTCCATCTCACCCAGAAATTCATGGTTGCAGATGAAATCATGGAATCTACTATTCCAGCTAAACAGGTTCTTCAAAGTAAAAGACCATTTCTCCTTCAAATACCAAATTCCAAAAGGAACCTCTTTGGATAGAATATAGGAGCTGCTCTTGCTAAATTGTCTTCAAAGGAGCATGTTAAAGGGTTGTCATCCTAATCTTTGCTACTTAGAGGTCTATTCACGAAGCTGCCCAAGGATCTGGCCGCAGCTTCGGCCGATCCTTCGGCTAGCTTCGGCCCCAGGACCCCTTCGGTTCAGTAGAACCGAAGGGGTGCTGTACGGGTTATTCACAATAGCCCGTACAGCTTCCGATCATGGCCGGGCGGCTCAGTCGAGCCGAACGCATATGCATCGGCTTGGCTGAGCCGTGCTGAAAGCCGAAGCTGGCCGAGCGGCCGGCCATTGGCCGGCCAACAGCCTGCTTCTGACAGCTGTCAGTGAGCCGTACCAGCCTGAAGTGAATAAAGTGAATAGCCGAACAGTGTTCGGCTCACTTCACTTCAGGTCGGTCATTCACTCGGCTGCCTACGGCAGCTTAGTGAATAGACCCCTTAGTGACTCACTGATCTGGGATAAGCATGTAAATATCATGGGTTCTGTCACCTAATATGTACAGTGTTCCAAAAGAGTAAAGTAAGGATCAGGATAACAACGCTTGCATGACGTTAAAAATCAAGCCAGCAATTGCAGCTCCTATATTCCTGACATGTTCTTTTGAAGAAAATCATGGTTTCTGTCACTTAATATGTACAGGGTTCCACAGAAGTAAAGCAGGCATCAGGATAACAAGCCTTGGATGACCTTCAAAATCAAGTCAGCAATGGCAGCTGCTATATTCCTGACATGTTCTCTTGAAGAAAAAGCTGGATCCAAGTATCTCTACATTTATTCAGCAGACCTTGGACTTACATGTATTGATTTATGAAAACTAGAGCAAAAGTGCAATTGTTGCTCTCAACAACAGGCCCAACCATGCAGCCATGGGAAAATGAAACAAAGGAATGTGATTGGCAAAAGCTACAATCTTTACTCCTTTCTTGTTTCACTTCAGGTTAAGAAGTTATTTCCTCGGACACAAAAGAAGGTATGAAGATTCACTGGCAAGTAAACTGGCTTTGGGTTTCAGAGAGGGCAAGGAACCAAACCTCACAACTACCCTAAGGCCTTAGCAGCGGGGATTATGAGTCAATCATCATGGAAATCCCCTTTAAATGATACTCTGCAGAGAGAAAGAAGCATTGGCAGTGAAGAAGATGTCTGCTGTTAGTGTTCCCTTTCACAATTTGCTAATTCCTTCCTTCTACAAAACTCATAAGGTTATGGGTACAGCTCAAGCAACTACATAATTAGGAAATTGTTCTTGTGCTGCTTACCTGAGCAAATGGTGTTACAATCAAGTCATCTCCATGTCTGTAAAAACAAGAAATATGCATGGTAAGTGTCCAGAAACAAAACAAGCATGTTTTCATTATGGTATGGATGGAAATTATAATCTGTCCCCACTGTACTAAAAATGTATTTATTGCTGTGTCCTTGTACTGTATAACACCCAACAAAACAAACAGGAAATTATAGTAAATGTGTCCAATGGGGACCTGGACAGTAAACAAATGGACAGGGGTTCTAACCCTTCCTCCCTTCATAGCAAATATGACCCTATAAATACAGTAGTCACTTCAAAGCAGACTCTGGAGTTGTGTCCTCAGTCTATGTTTAGGGCCTGAAACCACTGTGCATAGATGACATTCTTTCCTAGCGGTGACATATGACACTGACTTAGTCATTAAGCTCTTGACAAAGTCATCTCGTATACTGCAATATACTGAATACTTCCATCTGTTACACAGTTGAGGCTTTGTCAGTTTCTTTTCATAAACAGTACACAACAGCTTCTGCTGGCACAGATATTCCCAGTGAAGGAGCTTTCTGGGCACACACAATACAACCTATTACACCATTACACAATTACAATGTGTTTGCATCTATGACTAAATGTAGAGTACAAATTGTTCTGCATGCTGGGTGCATTTCCATCACTTACAACAGAACTGTACTACTTATCACGCTATTCTAATCACCTAAATTAGACAAATCTTTTGACTCATGTTTTTAACCACTTGCTGTCCATCCATTGTACATAAATGGACGGATGGCTCGTTCTTCAATGCGAGTTGTCGTATGTGAATGTGGCGATAGCTGTTATGTACAATCGTTCGGGTAGATATAGATATTATATAAATTATAAATTAATAAATTGATATAAAATTTATTTTGATACGGCGTTGCGTGACTGAATAAACGTCAAAGTTCCTCAGCGCTGAATTCTGAAAAATGGCCTGGACAGGAAGGAAGTTTAAACACTGTTCTGCAAATGGTTAAAGGACAGATGTTATAAGATAAATGGGTTATACTGCTGCCTACAGGATGATTGGACACTGGCCAAAATTTGGAAGGGGCCCCAATAGGGTATAACGCCAAGACTACTCGGTTTAGTTTAGCTTTAGTGTCTTGAAGTGGACCTTCACCCTGAAACTGTCCCTGTAATATCTATTGCAAAATAATATCTAATTGTAAGTAAGTTGCCTTTGTTTCTATTTAACCACATGCAAATGCACCTCTTCACTGCCTCAAATTCCACACTGCCATTTTGACTACCAGACATCATCAGTGGCCGACTACTACTTTCATGTTTTCACGGCCGGCCCACTAATGACATCAGCGTCAGATATTGTGCATGCGCTGCATAAATTCTGGCGCGGTTTGTTATTGTTTATACGCTGGCATGACTATTGCAACATAAGCAGCATTACTCTACCCAACATTTAAGTTTTTGAAGCCATGCCAATGTCAGGCTCTGGCAGAGAAAAGCTGTGAGGCTCTGTCATAATTGCCTACGAAAAACCAGTAAGTAGGTTTTTATCAAATGTAAAATTTATAAAGAACTATTTTCTTTTAAACATGACTAGACAATGATTTGAAAACAGCATGCAATGTTGAATGCTCCAGATGGTTTTGGTTTTGAAAGCTTTTTATTACAATATTTTTCCTTTAAATAACAGCTGCTGGTAGATTGATATTGGATGTTTGAAATCCTGGAAGTCTCTCCAGTCAGCCACCAAGTGCAGAATTTCCAAATTCGCTGATTTTACTGTGAGAGCCCTGTTGTGGCTGTGTCCTTACAACGGCGCAACTGAAGTCAAGTACGCATCCTAGACAGGGAGGACGACTGGTTTAAAAGAGGTGTGAAAGAGGCCATTTATGTAAAAATGGAGAAGCCAAGCTTGAATAGAGGTGGGGGAGGGGGAGAGACATCTATTGTCTGCCACATACAATGCTGTTTTAACACCTCTCTCTGGGCAGGTTAATAACACCTCCTAGCTCCAATTATGCAAATGCAATCAACACCTGGTTGTGACAGATTATGTGGATTGGAGTGATATTTACCATATTTATTCCCAGAGAATTGTTTGTGCAAGTCATTCTGAATTGAGTAAATTGGTTGGATGTCCAGTGAAACGTCTTCAAGAAAAATACAGCAAGTCCAGTTGCCTTGACTTATTTTTTACAGATGGCACAACTGGATGTTGCGTCTGCAGCACAGAGCTCTGCTACATGTGTCAGGTGAAATCTCCAGAAATATATGGATTTATAGCAAAGCTTTCTCCAGGTTGAGCTGATGGTCTGCTATGCCTCACATGCTCTGAAGACTGACCACTACTAAGGGAGTAGGCTGCGAGCTCCTAAGCTACTGTATCAGGGGGGAACCTTTTTCTACAGGGTTGGGACTGCCTCCTTTTGATTTACTCTGGGGAATGTAGTGCTTGTGCTTGACTTATTTGGTCCATTCAGTATCATTTCCACATCTCTGGCTGCCATTACTCTACAGGGTGTTGCCCTCACTGTTAAGGCCTCATTCACACTGCCGCACATATACACGCGTATATGCGCATGTGCGCATATAGTACGATATGCAGCATATGCAAATAAATGGCTCCATACACATAGCTGCGTATGGAGCAGTATATTTGGCTAGCGTAAAAACAGAACGGAACCGAGATGCGTCCGGGCAGCGTATTTCTGCGTATTTACACGCATACAAGCGTGTTTGCGCGCATATACGCACGTGTGCGCGTACAGTTCATTAACATTTCTATTACGAATGATGCATTGTGGGATAGTGCACGCATATACGCTCGTTTATACACAATATACCATTTTTCTCTTGCGTTGTGTGTGAATGAGGCCTAAGCATTTCTACTGGAGCCTCAGCTGACAGAAAATATGCAACAGCAAGTGGGTGGAGGGAGTCACTAGCTTCAGTACTTCCTGAATCACTGATACCAATCAAGTATGCAACATGTGACATCAAGTGGGAGTTTTGATCTGCATATGTGTTCTGGGTCGGAAACCAATAAAGTGGTGAAGGCAGACATTAGCACTTCAAGAGAGAGGCAATGGCAGCCTATATATTTATTTTATGATTTCTATTAACCAGTTGCAAACCTAGGATGTACCAGATATGCCTAAAAGGCTTCAACAAAGTACGTTGGGCATACCTTCTGCACCGACTCTTCCCCTGATGTGTGTTGCATTTTTAGTGGCACAAAACAAATCAATATTCAGTCTGTGTAGGGAGATTTGGGCTGTCTCCTGTTTAAGTGTCATGGAGATTTGTTTTTTCCTTACACTTGTAGATCCTCATTCAGGCTAGTAAACCGGTGTTTGTGTATTGTTTCATGAAGAGGTTATTGCTCTTATGGTTTCAGCAAAAACTTTGGTCTTAAGCAGGTAGGCAGTTATGTTTTTTTAATTTTATCCTAATAACAAAGAGCAATGTGAAAATGAATAGTGACCTCTAGATATTTTTCTATTCACAGTAGAGCATTTTTTGGAATATGGTGGCAGTTTTACTCAGGGCATATCCTTGGCCACTTAGATGCAAATATTTACATAGTTACATAGAATTTGAGGTTGAATAAAGACATTAGTCCATCAAGTCCAACCTATTAGGATCTCATTCTAGGAGTACCTGTACCCCTGTATATTACGGTCCCTTAACCTCTTGCCGTCCGCCCGTAGTAAAAATAGAGACCCCTAGTATCTCCATAAAGAGGACCTGTCAGTGTGCCTTTGCTATTATATAGGGGGTTGTTATCCCCCTATATAATAGCAATAACAATAAGTGCAAAAAAATAAATATAAATAAAAAAAAATAAAAGTAACACATAAAACAATAAAATAAAATAAAAGTCACATATAAGAAAAGGGGAAAACCCCCCCCCAAAATGTTTAACTCCCCCACCCCCACGTTTACGCGCCTATAAACGTAAATACGCGCCCGGTGCCCCAGCGCGCAAAAATTACAATTGCGCTACACATGTTACATATCGCCGCGAACGTCGCAGTGAGAGCAATCATTTTAGGGCCATCAATCACTGATAACACTAAACTGATGAGCGGTAACAGCTTTTAAAGCGTCGCCTATGGCCAATTTTGGGTATTATCGTTTTTTGAGGTTTCGCGCGCGCACGCAATTTTAAGGCTTGACATGTTTAGTGTCTTTTTACCCGACGTGACCCCATCTTTTATATTTTACCAAAAAATTGGGTAATAATAAATGTTTTATCATTTAATATAGGGGAAACTGTTT